TCGATAGATTACTCGATTACTAAAATATTCGTTTACAACAGCCCTACAAAGAACATTCACTCCTGCATTCTTTTTTAATCAAGGGCTTATTTTATTCAATGCATATGGTACACGGAAACCTAAAACAGTTCTTTCACCAGAAAAAAGACACAAACATAAAAACATTTATTGTTGTGCGATTCATTACAGTACAAACAGGAGAGAACGACAGACAACGGACAGGATCAAAGGTTAAAGAAAACTTTCCAGTCTATGACATAGCAGCACATTATGGCACTCCTCAGAGCGAGTATAAATCACCATTAGATATGTCTGAACCTTTCTTTAGCTTCAACACTACAACTACACAGTCACATCACTGTGCTACCAAATGGTCACATGATTAATGGAGCTCAACAATCTCATGTTAGACAATTTGGTTTAGGAGACATGATTGTTTAACAAAGGACACCAGTAGCCAATTTGAAGAAAGAAAAAAAAAACTAAATGAAAATTGGACCTACTCACTGACTAGCATCAACACAGCAATCAATCCCTTAAAGCATATATACGCTTCGCTTGAAATTCTGTTTGGCTAATTTTCATATTGCACAACATCAACATTCTGCCACTAAGCCGAAACCTCCTTCCACCCCGTTGGATAGACAGGTCCACCGCCGTGAAGCCGCACCCTGACCCACATAACTGTCTGGATCAGAACTCAGCTTCCACTTCAGGCCGACAGATGGCGATTAGGAAAATTCACGGAAATTGGAGAGGAGAAGAAGAAGACGTCTCCGGTTTTGGCTCTTGCAACATCGCAGCATAGTAGAGAAACGCATCCAAAGTCCATCGGTGTTCGGTGAGGCAATAAGAGGAATCCTGCGTGTCGTAACGTCCCGCAGACCCTGAGGAAAAGTGTGCCGTTTCACTGGACCAGGCAGCTGTTGGGATAAGGTCAGGGTGCACAGTCAGCCTCGGCGATGAACTGCTGAATGAAGCTGCGCTTCTGCAGCTCCTAGTCGGCAGGATGCTCCGGACAGGAGCGATTCACCTGAAACCACTCATCTATGCACCTGGAAAAAAAAAACACAATGCAAAAAAAACAAGAGGTAATTAATATCTTGTATCTAATGAAAAATAAAAGTTAGAATTACAAACTGAGCCATTCCTTTTGTTTTAGGAGTCTCTTTACATGGACACTAAACTGCTCCTGATCTCCTGAAAGGCCTTGCTAGCAGTTCAGTTTAGTCAGCTAGTTAGCTAGCCTGAGTAATGCTTGGAAACATTCACCTGGAACGCCCTCCAGAGTCAAATTTACCGCTAGGAAATCGGGGGCGACTCCAATTATCGCCAGTTACAACTTGTAAAGCCGACTTTGCATTTCAATATGGCCGCTCCATGCATCAACAGCAGTTATTTTACGAGACAGGCAGGTAGGAGTGCGTCTAAAATAGGTGTTACACGTAGCTTCTGCAGCTCTAAACTGAACATATTAAACCTTCTGTTTGCATATGGAAAATAAAAATGATGTTCGTAACAAGTACCACGAACAATGTCTGAAGTGCAGCCTTCTCTGACCAGGTAACTGGAGCACAGCATTAGCTACCAGTAAAGAACATTACTGACATGTCTCTTTTGGACACCCAGTCCTTACTACATGTGTTTGATACAGCAAGAAAAAATATTTTAGACACTATATGCTGCAATAAATCTTTACAACATTTCCACTTCCCTCATTCCATTTAACCTATTTTACTTTATCGATCGGTTTATCTTGTTCAGGTGGGACTACACTAGTTCATAAGGAGACTCTTACTTCAGAGGCTGATTCTGGATCTTGTAATTGAAAACTTCAGAGTAATTGCTTTGGTTGCTAGGGAATTATATAGTTGTCACTCCCATTATTTTATGATCCATCTCAGGATAAAAGATTAGAAAGATGATAAAACAGGTGGTCTGATTCGGATCACGAACCTGGAGGATCTCTAGAGCCACGCCTGGCTCCTTCTTTTTCTATTTTCCTCATAATTAGCAAATATTTTTTGGGCAGCTCATTCTCGTCCTGCAACAGGAAGTGAAGACGGTACGAACCCGGACTCTGTTGGGTATCTGACGGTCGAATGTGAATCTTGAAAGGAGTCCAAATGTAAGGCGTCAATCGTTTATCAGTTTTGGAGAAAATCTTTGTGACTTTAATTAGATTCAGTCAGCAACTGATTTGCAGTATTGGTAAATGAGTAATATATTGAAAGGGTGTCAATATGGTGGATTGGAGTCTCGCTCCAGATAACTATGGCCTATCGCAAGGGTTGGCATACTAACAAGATGTCTAATTTCCCTTTGGGATTAAGAAAGTATTTTGAATTTGATTCAAGAGCAGAGGACCAGGCCTTCATTTTTCTAAAACCACTTCCACATATTTGAGTGTTTTTACCCTTTGTGGTAGATGCAGAGGCAGGGCAGCCTGGCAATGGTGTCTCCCTGCTCCAGATCGTCTAAGCAGATCGTACATTCACCGGAGTCTCTCGATAGGATGTCCTCTGAGAAAGAGACAAAACGCGTAAACTGAGCACAGAGCCACACAACGCACCAAAAAGCAAAAACTAAAATCAATTAATCAAGTACTTTGCATCATAAACACACACACACACAAAGAGCCTCTTGGTATTCACATTTTGTCTCCTTATAGAGGTTGTGAGCAGTTCCAGAAACGGCAAGGGAACAGATAAATGTCTCGGAATGGCCTAGTTCAAGTGCACATCTCGGATCAAATGAGACAGAATAAGCTTTAGATATTTTTGTTTCATGAAAACAAATCTGAGTTTTAGAGTTTAACTGCCATCAATCTTTGTTTTTTAATACAATAAAAATTAATAATAATAATAAAAAGAGCAGCTCTTCTGAAAGAAATGAAGCCATAATTCAGTGTCCTACTTTTTTCATATTACATTTTGTTTAAGGTAACAGAATTTTAAATGAAGGTCAATACAACAGCCTGTATCTGATCGTTTTAAGGACTCTAACAGGTTCCATCATATACAAAATCTAGCTTTACTTCATATTGTAGTATTCTTCTTCTTTTTTTTATTCTTAATTTTGTCAGTCAGCTTAAACGTAAAATATCCTCTTAACCTTTCCCGTCCTGTTTTTTCTCCTATTTATATACCAAAGCACACACCAACTAAGCATATTGTAGTATTTTAAATATAAAAATCTTCCATTCGGTTTTAAATTTAAATGTAACTGATTCTGTAAATAAGTTTGGGTTCATCTTTCTGAGAATACAAAAAAAGACAAGGTTTTCAAACTGCATGTGGGCTTTATCAGAGTGAAACAAAAGGCAGGCTCAATCAAAAAGTTATTGCGTATGAAGTCTAGCGCAGGTAAAGAATGAAGCTGCAGTTGTGCAGATCCTCCACATCTGCATGGCCGCGATAAGCTGATTGACGCCGTTCAGCAGATGCTCCGGATTTGCACATTTATCAGCCACATGCACACCGCAGTGGGCGTGTGCGCGAATAAGCAAATGTGGTGCCGCAAAACAAAAGAGGAATCCACACCCGCTGGCATTCAGGCAAACAGCGACGAGCTGACGAAAGAGGCCCACACCTCGCGCTGCACAGGGCAACCGTCTGCTTCTGATGTTTTCTAAATGTCTTTCCTGTGCGTCGCTTCGTGCAGGTGCTGCTCGCACTGCTCTGACATGCAGCTGCGTCACGCGTTTGTATTAGTTTTCTCTTTCATCTCTTTCTTGTGGGTTGGCAAAACGCAAAGAGTAATATTTCTTAACGATTTTAATCATGTCAAGCCGCAAACGCAAAGCGATGTTTACCTGGAGTGAGATTGTCGTCCAATTTTGAGTGTTTCTAGATGTGCAAGTCAAAACGTAGCTTTTTCTGTTGTGTTTTCCACGGACTGAGTTTGTATTGTGCAAATTCCACATATGCAGATGACGATCCGCTCTGGTCTTAAGGACCATTGATATCCTACAAAGGACTGATACAGAGTTCTGGCCTGCAAAAGCCTGAGGCCACAAACTGAGCTGCATGACAAAAATATCTTCAAAGAGAGAAAGGGAGTTGAGGGGGAAAGTTCTTCGTCGACAATCATGCACCCATCCAACTGTATGCGTCAACACTGGGTTGACTTTTTGCCTAAATGAAACCGTGTTGTCTAGACACCAACTAAACAAAATTAAATTTCAGTTTTAGCTAGTGGCTACATTCAGAGACAGCTGGCTTTTAAGGGTCGACTAGTGCATTCTGGGACTTCTCCAACTGAGTCTGTGGATTTTTGGCAGTGCTTTGCATTCAGGATGCATTTGGGGGGCTGAAGGTGAGTGTCTTTGGAAATTCACATAAAAACATTTCTATGAGTAACATGCCAGTGAGCACTAGGTAGTGTAATACCCAGTGGAGGGGACACTTCTGCTAACCCGCAGCTAGTTTTCTGTTTAGCGCTTTTGCTAGCTTTAAAAAATGTTTAGCTTGTTTAGCTTCCCCTAAAAGAATAAATTGTTTTAGTTTGCTGTTCTTTAACAGCTGGCCGACACCAGTGTTAAAAGTTTTGAATACTTCAAACAGTAAGACGATATTGATATTAATGCTCATGTTTTCAAAAGAGAACAAGATATAAACACAAATACAATATCTATGGGCTTTATAGAAAGTATTACTATAGCATCGAAATTAAATTGGTACTCAAGGGTTTTAGTCTTGTAAGGGCAGATATGATTTGAAATTAGCGCTTTAGCATTTATTGATAATTACTGGTTTAGGGTTAGTGCAGCTAACCTTTTAGCTAGCAGTGATTTGACCGGATAATCAGAACGATTGCTTTATGGGCCTCTAATGGTAACTACAAAGATAGAGCTGCTATTCCCCATAGCCAAAGCATTAATATCATACAAACAGTATGCTTCTTTATTGTTTTTGCAACCACCTTCTGCTTTTTTTATAGTTCCCTACAGCCTGGATTTCCCAATGTTCCCTCTAGTTGTCGTTTTTGATACTTCAGCACAAACATGAACAACTACAGCAAATCGAAGTTGGATCTTCACGGGTCTGAGGTTAGGAAGTAAAAGTATGTCTGTCTGCCTTATCGGTTATTGTGGGTTCAGAACTGCTCCAGCACACTTGAATCAAATGAATGGCTTCTTATCAGGCCTCAGCAGAACTCGATAACATGGTCAGGATGTAATTCAACCACTTGATTAGCTCGCACTGGTTATGCAAGCTAATCATAAGTAATCAGTTTCTTCAAATGTTGAACAAAACATTCTGTTGCCGTTGAAGAAAACTCAAACACTGATTAAAATTAAAGTCAGCTTACATGTTGTTCTGTCTCTCTAAAGCAGAAAGGAGAAGATAAAAAAAACTCGTCACATCTGCTGTATCATAACAGAAAACAACTTTCAGAACCGCTTCCCTCCCCCCGCGCCAGAACGTACTGTTGTAGATAAGGCGTGTTTTGCTGAAGCACACGAGCAGGTGCTTCTCTATTTCATCTGCCGCCATAAACTTGGAGCAAACAGGACAGTGGAACCCTGAAAGTACAAAACACAAAAGCACAAAGAACATTAGGACCCATAATCAACATTTAAAAAACCTTTAATAATCCCTAAGGGACATTGAAGTGACGGCTGTGGGCAGGAACCGTCTCCAGCAGCAGTCTGTCTTACAGCACATCTTATTTATCATCTGGCTGAAGATGATATGTTGTTGCATGACAGTCTGCTAAGGAAGATGCTCAGGTTTGTAGCTCTATCTATAAATTGATGCGCAAGAGTTAGCATGTGTTAGATCTATGGCTTGGACAATGAAATACATAAATATGCTTTAAAATAAAGTTATATTCTGGGTCCAAACTTGGGGACGCCGTCCACTGCTTCAAGTCTTTAGTAGGATTTCTTCCAAGATTATCCTGTGTTTTCATCCATCCGTCTTTCGGTCTACGTTTGCCTGCTATAATGGTAAACAATATTTAGTGTTTTCCACTGACGCTAAAAAATACATATGTGGTCTCAACTGATCAGATCTTCTTCCACATCTACCAATACTACAGCTACTACTGATAATAATAATAATAATAGTTTACTTGTTTAGTACTTTTTTAAACAAATGTAACAAAGTGGAAAAAAGTATTATATCAACATCATAAACGACACAAAAAGTACAACAAATCAATTAAAATACATAGTAACGTTAGATAAAATTACATTTTGTGAGCTGTCTGAAGTTTGTTTTCTTATCGAACTTCTATCCAATTTTATTTGCAAGTTTTCAATTATGCCAGAGGTTCCCAAACTGTGGGGTGCGACCCCTAGGGGGGGTGCCATCCCATTGCGGGGGGGGGGGCACGGGAAGCCGTCTGGATGAAAAAAAACAAAACAAAAGATGAACGCTGTGTGCGCTGGGTTTTTACCTTAGAATGGCCAACTCTCTGTTATTCCTATGTCAATTTGATACAGTAGGAGCTCCCACACTTTCCATATCTGTGTCCTCTGTCACTTTTATCAGCAGTTAAAACTGTTTAATCTGTTGTTAACATGTCGTAACCTGTTTTTCCAAGCCACCTTTAAATGCAACATGAGTACGACGACGCTCACGCTGGGTTTAGACCTGTGCAGCAGTGAAGGAGACCTGCTGCTGCTGTGCAGAGCTACGCAGGTTTGTGTTAGAATCACGGCAGCAAACCAGCAAAACGCAAAGAACTTTTCACAGTTTTTCCCCCAAACTAACCGACTGTTGAGTAAAGCTGTTGGTGCAGGTAATGTTAGCTAAAAGATGACCACCTTAAGCTTAACAAGTAGCCTGTAGGCTACCAATGTTGTTGTCTATGTTCAGCTACGTACATTCATTTTGCCCCCAAAAAAGTCAATCCCCCCCTCCCCCCTCTCACACATCTATAGAGCCGGGATCACCATTTAAATCC